GCAGATTCTAGTATTAATTAAGGACCATGAAATACGAGACACCGACAGCATGCATACCCACGCCGTCGCGAGACTGTGACACCTTGCGTCCTGGCACCTCCCAAGAAGATGCAGGATAGGAACGACGAAGCGACATGTACTAATCGTCGGAGCCCCCACTCCCCCCACCTCATATTATTGTACTTGCCCGATGATCAATAATTGAAAACATTTGGTCGCCTTACTTGTCTTGCTGAAATTAAATTTTCTCACATGCTAACACTTGCACAAATGTTAAACAGTACTTAGTAGCATATCAGGAAGTAATTGCTCTGTTCTGTCCTTTAGGTTTAGACTGATGACAGAACGCCGACCGCACTGGTCGAAGGTGAGATTGTGGGCAGACCTTCGAATCTCTTTCATTCCGTATGGTTGATCCTAATATATAAAAAAATAAACTAAACATTTACTTGCACTACTGTTGTTTGCGCGTAAATACCTGAGACCTTGACCACCGCCAATAACTTTGTTTCAGAAACGAAGTGATATTGCGTTTTTCCGCGTTTTAATTATAATTTCCAGATGACGTGAAGCCGATCACTTAACTGCCCTTTGCCTTTGCGGCTAATAGTTCTTCGCGATAACACGCCATTCGTTTCTGAAACACTTGGAAGTTGGAGTACTTTCACACGTGTTTGTTGTCATCCAGACGACAACTATGGACTTTTCGTTAGCATCTGGTGACGGTAAAGGCTCAGTTGCGGTACTCTGAACTTTATTCTAACCTGTGATCACGTGGTTTTACATTTTGTACTAAAGCAACTATAGGCTACAAGCCCACCAACTGCGCCATTCGGGAATCTCTGGTAAGTGCGCAAGGGAGCTTCTTTTTTGGACGGAATGGACTTTCGCGGCGGCGTCCACGTCAGACTTCCTTATCTCTCCACACACCGCATTCCAAAGGGGCTGGGGGAGTAAAGCCGATTGGGAGTGGGCGTTTGTAGCAGCCGACAGATCTGAATATGAGTTTATGCGTGCCGGGAGGAACCTGATCCTTAGTTTCACATGAAGAGAGGACTCCAATGAGTTGGGAACGACTATCACGGAACTGGTGATGCTATTAAAGGTGACTTTCATACCCCGGAAGAGATACAGTTTGTTGGTTTTCCAAGAAGGTAACAAGAAATAATTTACACAGTTATATAGAATTATAAATGCCAGAGACCGTGTTCAGGATTTGATTGATTCCTCCTTTCTATGTTCCATTCTTGTTTTAAATTGCGCATTCCCGCCGTCGCGTAACGGCCTTGGCGCAACAGCCGACGAGTGAGCAAAGGCCAACTGATTCTGTTCCATTGCAGAAGAGCCGGATTGTATTTTCTAATTTTCGTAAATGGTTTTCTTCTCGGTGCACTATTTGGGCTCCTTTTGATCTGTTTAACGTATGGGTTAAATTTAGTCCCCAGCTTGGTCTAAACTAGTTAATCTTACCTCGCAGTCTTGACACTTTAGTTCGATGGAGCCTTATTCCCATTACCTGTCTAGACATCTGCCTCTGCTAGTAGGGGCGATTCCAAATGAAAATAACATCAAAATAGGCCTACAATTCGGAACAGAAACAGTAATTTCTGATTGCCCATATCTTTTGTTGCATTCTCTGCATAAGTGTGTTGAGTTTTAAAATTCTAAAAAAAACTGGGTGCTTTGTGGCATTAGATTTTTGCAGATTGTCGTCTTTTTACATGTTTCCCTTTCTTCAGGTATTTCAAGCTGCACCACTGAAGTCATTGATGTTAAAAAAACCCAGATCTGGTCTTCTTGGTCTTCTGTAAAACTGCATAGACAGCCTAATGCTTTGATCACGTGCTTTGGTGCATCGCAAGATGAGAGAGGCTGGCTTATTACCGAGTATCCGTTGGAGGTTATTGTTAACTTTTAATAACACAAGGGTTACATCCAGTCTCGGCTTTCTTGCTTGAAAAATTCACAGCTACTGGCAGAAGCATGTGGATGTAGTTGAATAATGAAAATACTGGTCAGTACAAGTACCTTGCTTCGTTCTCAATACCTTTTGACTGTTGTGGCTGCATGGCAACATTCAGTAGTAACGATCGCTGCCAGCTGAAAGTGCTAATGGCATGTTGTGTGTTCCTAAAGGTCTACAGTTGCTTTGAAATTGTCAGATTTTCCTTTTTGGCAAAGGTAGTTTAAATAATGCACATCATACACCCATAGCCCTAGCATTTGGTCCTACGAAAACGCTGGTTATAGAGGTATTAGGGGTGGGGAAATAGGAAAGGCAGGAAAGGTAAGTTGTAGAAGTAAGTGTAAAGTGGGAAACTGTAGTTGGATTTGTTCCGCATGTAAATTAAAGGTATGCGCGGCGCTTCACGCAGCAGACAATACTATTTTAACTCCAGAACTGTAAGTTGAACCTCAGATACTTTGTAGTAGACGACCCCCTAACCACCATTTATATTTTTTTTCAGAATTTTCAAGAAACCTGCAGTTTGATAATCGGGTTTTTCCGCAATACATTAAACGAATATACAAATTAGGCAAATCTACAGACACAGAGTAACAACAGTTCTAAATACAATAAAATAAAAATGTCTATCGCAGTTATAAAAGTACATTTCACTACCTATCCTAATTTCCCACCCATAAAACCCCTATAACCACCGCTTCCGTGGGAAAAAATGCTGCGACTAGGGGTATACGAAGTGCACTACTTAAATTACTGCATCACATTAACCTAGTTTACAAGAGCTATTAGCTGTGGAGCCGTAGACAAAAGCAACACAATTAGACCCTCGGACTTATTTTTTGTTGCATGTGTGAGGGTATCCCTTTTGAGCAAAAACAAAAGTAACATCACAAAATCAGATTGCCAGAAATAAGGTCATAAAGAAATCTAAATCAGTGCTTCAGAGACAAAGAGTAAGGTAAGTACAGAAAAGAGGCTGTTGTACGCCACAGACTTTCAACAACCAATGAAAAGGCTGGTAAATCACAGGCAAGCAACGGAGCAAAATAATAAGGTAAAATTTATAAAAATTATAACCCCCATATAAATAAATGCTCCAGATATCAAGGCTTCACCGGAAGTTGACGATGATGATACTGAGGTGGGGAAGAGGACGGAGAGGGTGGTATACGAGAATAGGAGAAGAGTGTTACAAGGAAACGGTGCTTGAGTTCTGACTAGCTGCGGAGGGTCTGTGTCGGAGAATCTCGGAGACAGCCTCTTTCTTCTCCTCGAGGGACAACGCGGCGAGTTCAGACCATTTGGCCATATTCTTCAAGGCCTGTTCCAGCATTGGATGTTGGGTAGGAATAGCTCTAACTACAACTTCGAAGCAGGGCAGGCAGATGGCTTTGTAGAAGCCCACCTATCGCAGAACGAGTACATTGGATCAGTTATGATGAATGAAATATGAATTCAACGGTACAAAACTATGCAGGAAGGAGCCATTCAAATAGATACACGCTATAACAATTAGTCCCTAAATCACCGCTACAATCACAACGGATTTTAATATTTTTAACTGGAATCAATTGGATTTCTGAAAAAGGCTCAAAAACGCGGGAATGGTTGTCTTCTCTTTGGAGTTTTTGAAACATACCAGCCTTTTTTCGACTCCGATTGAAAAATTCCAAGAAATTTACAGTTTGCACTGCTTTACACAAAATGTTACATTAGTTCCACTCGATGTGTACTTTTCCCTTATTTGTTTAAGAGTACAGTTTTTCAACCTAAACGCCCTGAATAACGAAGACGGAAAAAAAGTTTTTCTTATTTTCTATAAGTTTAAATTCGATAGTTACGCTTTTGTTAACAGCCCCCAATATCAAAAATGTATAGTGAGAAGGGTTAAGTTGTGGTTAGACAATGCGACAAAGGTTTCGCAAATTCCGTATTGACAATGAGAGCCTCCAAAATTGAGACGTACAACATTGCAATAAACTCATGACAGTGCACTTTTTAAAGCACCTATTGGAGAAAAATTACTTCAAAGTGCATGAGAAATATCTGAGGCATCTGATTACAATATTTCCACGGTGTCTAATTGTTGGGCGCAAATAAGTAAAACGAATAAGCTCGACAAGTGGTTCCTAGAAGAACGCAATGAAAATCAAAGGGTTCGGTACTCATGAATAAATGTGACTCAATTCCGCTCCCAGGATGTCCCTACAGAAAGGCAGGGACTTGGGATAGGAGACTTTACCTCATCTTCCAAAGTCTCCCGATTTTTCTGACTACCTCTGAATAATCTGTTTTTAAGCAAAAAACATCAATAAATAAACAAATACAGGAGCTGGATCGAAGTATTTTTGAGCATCAAAGTCAATGTATTTTTATTTAGCAAGGTTTAATTCACCTTTTTCATTGGTCATTGATCATAATTTGAGTAATGTACTACTATCACCCTTTTCGGAAACAAATGTCTACTTCAGAGATCAGGCAGTATTATCCAACTAGCCTAATACGTCTTGTTGTGAATTCACATCAAACAGCCTTGTAGCTCAGTGATCAAAAGGATAAGGAAACGTAACAACATATCAGTATGTGTGATGATAATGTTTCAGTATCGGAAAGTGATAGCACACGTCCCAACTTATAACAATTGCGTATAAAGGAGGATAATGTGGACCGAAAGCCTGAATTTTTCCCTTCAGATAATGTCCAAAAAAGCAGACTTAAGATTTATTCCTGTTAAGCTATTTTGTTAACTGACGAAACAGAGAAAATCTAAAATCACCCCTTCATTTTTCAGAAATGTCAGCGTAATAATATATGCGTTATTTCTTGCCAGTGTACTTGTGCTAGTCATGAAATTGTCATCCCTAACTCGCAGCTTAGGCCTCGCCAATTGTATGTTCTGTTCAGACTGTTTCCTAGAAATTAATAACGAATCCAGAACTGCATCCGTAGCGACCACAGAGGTACTTTTTCGAAGAATAAGGCGGATAGATAGATTGCTAATGCCAGTGCAATTATCCGATCCCTGCTTTGGCACAGGAGAGAGCGTACGGGGCGGTTAAAGAAGGCTTACTATTCACTGCCATCATCATCACTGACCCTTAGCACATGTACATCGAGAGATAGAAGAAAACTCCCCTGTTTTGCGAACATGCCGCATTAATGTGCTGAAAGTTATGAGGTTAATAAATACTGCTAGTTGCCATATTTGAGTCCATGCGCACTGAAATGAGGTCAGCAACATGAGTTTGCGACATTTCCGCAGGGTACCTTTTGTGGGTTTTTGATTATTCTGAATGATTGATAGAAAGGCATGCAGGCGACAGTGCAGATTTGGCTCGGACTGGGATGCGACCCCCAAAGCATAAGGCCGCCCGGCGGGGGCACAGAATCTCATTCGCTTAGTAGATATGCGGCAGCCTGAATTCGGTAGTTCTGCGCCGATTCATCTCTTTCTCATTCTCCAAGCGATGGCCTACTACGCGCGCCCAGCTGACTCACCTACTCTTCTCTGTGCGCTCTTGTACTTTCGCGTGCCTACACCCGAAGCTAATCGATTATTCACGAGCTCTGATGTCAACACCTCAACCCTTTCCTGATTGACTGGTGGCTGGA